GTTACTTGGCAGTGATTCACGTTTGGGATAAAATGCATGGACGTTCATGCCAACTATATACAATTGTGTATCTGATGAGATAAAAAGGTTTTCTATCACATCGAATTTTGATCTTCTGGAGAATTTAATTCAAGTATCTACAAACGTAGGAGTTGGGATCCCATTCGCATTACAAAATAGAAGCATACAAAGCTACTGGAGAATAAGAACGGCAAATAATTTTACAGTTCAGTGGTAATTGGAACGTTTTGGAGATACAAAGACCAATTTATCTACTTATAAAATCACACAGAACGAAATATCAGGTTATGTTAACCGAATGTATAGTACGAAAAAATTTATAGTCTTACTCCAAAAATACTAATCATCTAGTATATTATTCTGATATTTATATAAACTAAAGAATTGACATGAGTGACCTAACTCAAAGTCTTTCCGAAATCTCTGGTTGTCACTACACTTGCTCCGTATGGGAACAAAAGTCAAAAGTCTATGTCATTTTAAGTCAATAAATAAATTCTTTATGGTTAAAAATAAGTTATATTTTGTTGACAGAAGCCCTTGGCGCTTGGAAAGAGGGACTCACCAAGTCGCCAGGTGGTCTCCACCCACGAGACAAAAACTAAACCTATTCTCTCAGATATTCATGAAGTTAAATGGGCTAAACTATCGATGCAAAACTTGTGTAAAGTAGTAAATACTCTGAATGAATGAATGATAATGATGAAATGATTATATGTGATGAAAAGATATATAATTTTGAGTTGATCTGATAATCTCTATTGACTGGAATCATCGTTTTAAGTACAGATCAAGTCTATTTGTCTTCAGTTGTAAGGTAATATTCGGTGTTGTTTTTCTGAGATTAATGATGTCAGTCTAACTTAGCTTGAAGTGAATCTCAATATCTACACCATCAAGAAAATTATCTCTTTACATATGAAGAGTACTTTCTTTTTTGAAGAGGATCATAAATCTAAAGTTCACGCAATATATGAAATCATACAGACAAATTGCTCTCATGTTATTACAAAAGGTAACCAGCTCAGTGAAAATTGATACTCATAATAAATTGTGATCGCTATTGAAAAAGCAAGTAATGAATGATATACCAAAAAGTATAGAATTAACACATCAGCACAAAGCCCAAATAATATTAAACAAATTTGACAACAGGAGAATAGGTACCAATGGCATCACAACAAGAAACTTCCTAAATTGCAACAGTAAAATTTCCTTGATCCGAATGAAGCATGAGACAAATACATCACCTAGTGTGATAGATACATAGTTTTTTTAGATGGAGGTAAAACCTCATGATAAATGAAAGAGTCTCTATTCATAGAAATTTTGAAAGTTGAAGACTCTTGAAACATGTCTTATTTCTTAAAAAAATTTCTAAAAAATTAATAAAGTATTCACAAATATTTGAAAAAAACTAACGAGTAAATCCATCGGCTTCTTATTATCATCCGGTTGTCATTCGGTGTGTATAAGCCATTGACGGTGATATTTATAATCGCAAGAATATTTCAAGACATGAACACTTTATATTTATGTAATATTCCGATATTGTGAATTTACAAATTGTGAAATTTTTTGCTACTTCAAATCAATCACTAATATTTTGTTTATAAATATATGAAAATATATGTTTTTTAATATTTGGAAATTATTTTCTTCTGAAAATTAATAATAGTCTGAAATGAGATTATTTTTAAAAATAAAATTAATTTCTTACAATTATAAAATTTTTGAGATTATATAATGACTAAATTATTTTTTCTGATTTAAAAATAAATTATTCGAAGTGATCAAATTTTTAAAGTGAAGCTTTTTAATTCCACTGATAAGAAATTCTAGATCAAGAAATTCATTTTATAAGATTTTTACAAATTTCAAAAGAATATTTAAGATATACCTATGAATAAAACGCCAAGATTGAAAAGTTGATGGGATTATTAAAAGGAATTAAAAATAATAAAATTATAATTTAACATAATAAAATATATAATATTGTTTTAAATTTGAAGAATGATTCTAATACATCAATTATTAAAGGAAGAGGCTAGTTATACTTCACTTTAGGCTGATTATACCTCACTTTACTACACTAGGATGAGAGACAATTAGCCAGGTCAGCAAAGTAATTGGACAAGTTCTATAACAACCTTTGCCGGTGACAATAGCCTGAGACCGGAAGGCTTGTAATTGAGTAATCTTCAGTCTGTGGAAAGGTGGAGCTCCGAGATTATCGTCTTTGCATCATGTGAAGCCGATGGAAACTCCGTCGCACAAGACAATTCGGAAACAAAATTATGTCTTCATCGTCAATCTGAAGGGTGCCAACAGAAGAACAGGGAATTCATCGAAGAAGCTGCTTCCCAAATTGACAGCTCGCTTGGGCAACAATTGAAACATTTAAGAAACACTCATCACAGGTCCTCAACACGCCACTCAGCTTGCCTGGAAGGACATCCAGGACAGAGGGACGCCCTTCATTGCAGTCGATGGGGATGGGACGATTCATGAAGTGATCAATGGTTTTTTCGAGAATGAGAAGCCAATCAAATCCCAAGTCGTGGGTACATTTACTGCGTAGGAAATAGCTCTTGGACTTAAATCCATGAGCATGAGCTCCAACTTAATTTGAGTTTTTGCCTGGAATTGTGATCCCACTAGAGCCATAGATACGATTTGTAGTGATTGATTTTCAGTGAAAATAGCCTGAGTTCAAAAGGCTACTCAAACTACAATAGCTCCCGGTTCTTGGCTAAGGTCCAACCTAAACTAATAACATCTATTTGGATGACTTGGCTCATTATCCCTCACCCTAGTATAGTAGAATGAAGGATAATTAGACTAAGATTAGGAGTAACTAGCCGCTCCCTTATTAAAATTATAAAATGGATATATTGGTTATATGTGTATAAAGAAATTTTACTTCACTCTTTAAGGTTTTTGTTCACTTAGAATACTTGTAAATTCTCTTATATAATGATGGAGTAACTAACCTAGCTAACTCAGGTTAATCTAACCAGCGTTAATCAAGATCTGGTTTAACTCCTTACATTGAATGTAAAGTGATGAGTTGAAGCTTTTATAGATTATCAATTGCAAGATTTTATTCATTTTCACAAAATCAATATAAAAGGTCGAAATTTTGCTTCGAACATGTATTCATAAAAAATGATTAAAAGATATTTTTTATCTAAAATTTTCAATTATAAAAATTTAGTTAATTCATAAAAAATTATGTACTTATTGCATTGAAATGTTATGAATGATTTGAGTTATATTCTTGTATCATTCAAGACTTGTGATACATATATATATATATATATATATATATATGAAAATTTACAAGTGTTCGTCACAAAATCAAAAAGATATTTTGAAGTTTGAAAGAGATTTCTTGATCAAACCTGAACGTCAATAATAAATTTTCTATTGATTATTATTTATATTATTTATCTTCAATATGATACGTAAGAGAAAATCACACACAATTTAGCATATTCAAAGTAACTAAAGAATATTATGGATAGCTATAAAACATAGTTTAAAGATTGTAATACTGACTAAAAACTCAGGATCAGTAAATAACAACAAAATCTATCACATGAATAGGTTATAATGTAATACCTAATTTTGTCATCTTTATGAATGTAGTTAAAAAATTGAAAGTATTATTCTAATTAGAAGAAAATCTTAAATGTTATTCTATAAACATTGGAGTTTGAGCTTTTGCAAATGAAAAAGAAAATTAATCAAAATATATATGATTTATCTCCAAACTCATTGTATGATATGTCTAAAATCTAATATACTCTATCATCCATCAATGATGGGAAACTATGAAAACGAAATACAATATTCAATAGCACTTGCCCAAAAGAAGAAGAAAAATTAAAGCCTATATCATCTCTTAAACTTTCCATCTACTTCTACATTCCTCAAAAGTATAATGCAGGAGACGCAATTTTGACAACAAAATTTATCAATAACTTTTTCCATATATCTTCTGTCTGCACCAATGAGAGTCAAATCTGGAGAGCATTGATTATTCAGTCTCAGATTTCAGCACGAAATAATCTTTCTTTGTTTCTTATACATAAGATTTGCATTGTTAGGATCTTCGTTTGTACCCTTTTTCTCCCTTCTTCTTAATGAGCTGTTGATATATCCCGAAGTAATATTTTGGATCTTACCAGTTTGACTTCAGTGTCCCGACTCGAGATAGATTTCATTGTGACTACTGTCTCAGAGGGTTTTTTCCTTACAACTTTCTCATAATTTCCACTACTTTCCTAACGAGGAATAGAATATTGAGCAAGTGCAAGTGCAAGTACTGGAAGAATTTGTGTTCCTTCCTTCATTCTAATAAGTCAATTTATTAAGTTTATACACCATAATTCCATACCTTTTGGCGGTTGATGTGATTAGCAACAAAGGCCATCAGCTAACATCTACACATTTCATACAAATGGTTGATTGATGATAATTCTCATATCAATCAATCATAAAAATAAGAATGTCAAAAGCCGCAATTAAGCCTAACTGAAGGATTATCACTTTATTCTGACGTTGACTCAAATTTTCGTTTAACATCGACTTACGTTTCAATGGACGTGTATGAGTGTTCAACTTAAAGCTTTTATAAATTACAGGATAATGTGATTGACAAAATCATCATTAGTATATAGTTATTGAGATTGAGGTATATGCAAAGATGAATTCGATCATGTCAATGTTCCGTTGATCAGGATGTTAATGTCCGATTGTAATATACGCCTACCTTCCAGCAAAATTTGCTTGGCAAAGTTTCTTTGACATTCACTTTTTACGCCATTTAGAAGAAAACATGCCACTTTTCGTCGTACATTTGCCAAGCAATTTTGAAAAGTGATGGTTAAATCACGATGTTTTACGATATTCAGATATAGTCCCGACGTACAAATGATTAGGAGGAAGCCATAAGTTGGCATGTGTTTTGAGCTCGGCACTAAACGTCCGAACGAATTGCTTCGTGTTCGACTTTCATCATCCACGTCTGTGGATGATAAACACAACGAGGTGAGATTTAACAACCGTCGTCAACTACTGTCGGCTGACATTTCTCATAATGGAGGACTGCCAATCATACCCTCGAACAGTCCGTAAGAACGTCCCGCAATGACTTGCTCCTTACAATCTAATCCTTTCATTTCACATTCATCGAGAAAAGACTTCCATCCGTTTCATTCGGGAAGATAAGAACTTCCTCCGAGATTGAAGATAACTTCGGTAGTGGGACTAGGTCTAGTTATTGTTCTGTTATATGGGCAGGTTCATAAACCTGTCATTAGGAAAGTTCAACTTGTAGATAATTTTGAGAGACAAAAATTACTTTAATATTCCAGAGGCTGAAAATTGCTGAATATCTAACTAACTAAGTTCAATTGTGAGTGAACTCGGTATGTTTCTTCGACGTATGGAAATCACCATAGAACTAAGTCCAAGTCTTAATTCAACTATAGACAAATAAGATGAAGACTTCAATTCTATTCTACGTACAACGTCATGGGCAACATGACTCTTCTGCTCAGGCACTGTACATAAGCATGTGGACCACGGCAATAAGCTGTGGAGCCTACACTCTTTAACTCATATGCTACAGGAAACTTCAAACAGATTGTCAAAATCCATTCTCCTTTCTGTTGGAAAAACGTGTTTCGCTGGTTCGGTCGGAACTCTTCAAAGTCCATTGGAACGAGACACTCCACCGTTTGCAATAGTGGACCACCCCATGATTTGGAACCTGAACTAGAACCTGCAGCCAGGCCTGAACATAATTGACGAAGTCGAGTCTAGTTCTCATTAGAAACAGAGTTCGTCAATTCTATGATTCTCTTGATCATTCGGTGGAGTGCGAATTTCCACTATTCGATGGCAGTGCGGCTCTTGATTTGGTGCCCGACCCTGAACCTGCAGATCCAAGAAGCATCATCAGACTGGCGGACACTATGAAGTCAGCCGTCTACAGATGCCAGGAAAAGAACAACTTTCTCTGCCATAATAACTGACTAGTTCTGTGTGGCTTACCGAGACGTTGTGACGAACTTTTGTATCGAGGAAAGCTTTTCTCAGCCCTAACTTCCCACTTTCTTTCAAAATCTTGAACTTCATCTACACGTCAAAATTTGAAAATGATGTCAGTCATTTGACGATCAATTTTCTCATACCTTTAAAAAGCAAAAGTTAGAAAAAAATTTCTTCCCAGAAGAGCAGCCAGACCCTACCTAGAGCCAAGTTGTGCAAAGTTTCAAACTTTTCCTCCCGGCCTTCCGCGTTCCTTTTCCGGGTCAAAGCTCTACCCTGCGAGACGTTAATACAGTTGTGTCAGCTCGAAGATTAGACAGTACTCAGTAGTGATTGACTTTCGTACCCAGAACACCACAACATGAAGAGACATTTATGAAACCTTTCATTTTTTACAACTCTTTGTTACACTGTACGACAAACATTTCGACAAAAAATCACAATACTAATCTCAATGTAAAAATTACCAAAAGGAAAACAAAGAAAATTGGCCCTTAAAATAGTGTTTGGAGGTCACAGCATACCTTATTACCCAATCCATGCAAAATTTTATGACTCTCTTTTCCAGCAGCAAGATCTTTCTCCTGATGTTCCTCTTCATAGACCTACATGATTGCAAATAGCAGTTTGAATATAAAGTTGGAACAAACGAACGATCGACGCAAGTACCTTCATAACTATTTACTATGTTTCACACAAAAATCTCAAGGGATGGACTTCGATAACATACCCCATCAGGCCCTATTCTCCGGCTCGAATGAGAAGCATAGTATGGACCATTTGTTCCGCCATAAGTTACCGATGAACTTTGGTAGGAGTAACTGACTGGGAGGTTGGTAGATCGCGTATTCGAGACTGACTGTGAAGTCCTCGTGGAAGGAGCAGGTTGATAATGCACTATTTCTGTGCAAATTACAAATTACTTATCAATCACAGATCCATCACGATGTTTAGTTGTTTAGAGACAACAAATGTCAGAGATTATGTAGATAACCACATAAGAGCGTAGTCCATGCCAGCTTAGACCAACAGATCAGCAATGTGAAATTTCAAGTTCAAGGTTCAAACATGATCAACCAATCAAGCAGAACGAGATCCTTCTCTACTACCTACAGACCTTGCCATCTAAGCGACAGGCTTCCACACTTCGATCATATTTAGATAGAATTAGACAGCTGTTTTGCTTCATCCTCCACTGAGATCACAGAAGACAGATTGTTCAAAAACATGGTTGTGAACAAATGAGAACAAAGACCTAACCCCCTAAATTATAAATTGTATCATGATAGCATGATAAATATAAACAAAAAGTCTTCAACAATAAGCATGCTTCACCAACGTAATCTCAATCGACTTTTCGATATGTTTCAAGACCTCGAGCAAAGCACAGTGATGGGTAAACACACATGTCAGCTTTAAAGAGCTTTCAACTATTTGAAAACAAGATTAAACATAGAAAATTTCTCCATTCCGTTACGATGACCTGAGTCAACCAGCAGCATACATCACCGTACTGATGTACCTGTATTCTTGTTATCATCGTCCTCAGGATGCTCAACTATCGGCTCCTGATTCGATTTGGGCCCTGCATTTCCTCCGTCATCATGGTCGTCTGGAACCTCCTCAATATGGACACTTGTTCGACCTCCTTCCTGCACGAACAACTAGGATCAATCCTCGACAATTCTTTAATTCAAAGTGCAAGAGGGAATTTGGTGGGTGATGAAAATTACGTATCTCTCCACAGAATAGAATAAGGGTACCAAAAGGCCTTTACATGAACCGAGGATAATCAACGGCTTTGCAAGTGTACCCGTCCTTTCGTTACCCGATTATAGCTCGAGGCATGCCGAACCAAAAGCAGCGAGAGTGCTAACAAGATGTCTCCGCAAAATGAACTAAACGATTCCAATACGACAACAAGATCGTTCCACAATTCCAGGATAGTTGGATGCTATCCAAACAGTGACTTATCACGTATAGCCGAACAAGACAGCGGGACCTTATGAACATCTTCATTGTGAGCGAATTCTACAGATTTCACAATTGATGGTATCCACAAGCTAAACACAGGAGCAGAAATAACAATGGGAGCGAGAGATGAACTTGAAGCACTCACCGGCGCCGAATTAAATATCAAGTCCTCGACGGGTATCTGCCGGTGAAAAGCTTCTTGAAGGATTTGAGGAGGAGGAGGAAAGGGAGGAAAGAGACTTTGACTAAAGAAACCACTGGGGCCGAACAGATTACTCGGATTACCGAATAGACTTCCGAAAGGACGGTTCAAGAACGGATCGCTGAAGAAGGGATCGTTATCAAACATATCCGAAAGAAAGCTTGGCCTTCCACCAAATCCTGCAAAAGGGTCTGGAAATCCTGGAAAGAAACCTCCTCCCCCACCGAATCCTCGCATATTGTTCCCTCGTCCATCTCTACCCGGTGGTTGCATTCTGTCCTCCCTTCCCCACCTCTTCAACGACCAACCTTCCTCACTAACTCGAAATTCGCACCTCAAATTTGCACCCCTTCCCTTCCTCGCCTCTCCCAATTGCTATCAGCCCTGGTAATCGACAAGAAATCCCACCACTCAGATCAGTCCAATCGTCTTCCGCTCCACAATATTCACCACCCTCTCGTTGCCTTCCAGTTGCAAGAGGTTCTTCTCAATCAGAGCTAGGGAGGTATATTGTGTTGGATTCTTGATCAGGCTCGGATTATGTAGCTATCAGCTCAATCTCGAGCACTCAAAGACTGATCTCATCACTGCAAGAGGGCACAAACTGATCCAGATTAGTGAATTCTCGACGGCAAAATTTTCCATGCAAACTCGATAAGTCCTGAAAAAGTGACGACGATCACCACAGAAGCAACTCAATTCAGCTACTAAAACGATTCCACAGTTCTACAAGACGTTGCCAAGCTCGAGGGCATATGGCAAATTTGCTTAATGCCACCTCACCAATACCCTAGGAATAGGTTAGAAGATTTTTTGTGCACTCGTAAGAGAATGTGATGTGGACTGCTGAGCTTGGCTTAGCCAGACATCGTGAACGCTACAAGATTTCAGGTGCAAGAGAAACTCCAAGAATTCTCTTCTAGTGACAGAATTCCGTTCCGATCAGCAAAGAACAAGTGCCCAGAATCAAGAGAGAGAGCACGCGCAAATTTCGTCCTCAATGCTGTAAGCACGTGACATTTCGTCTCTCACCAGATTATCCTCATCGAAGGACCGCCGAGATCAGTCCGATCGACTCCCACCTTCCAAACTGGCGCTTTCCTGTCCCCTGCCTTCCGCCCCACTCCACCAAATCTTAGACAACCGCGCCCTGCTCGATTCATCAACACGACGATGAAACACCGTCCGAAAGCGCAGAAACGGACCGACAAATCGTGCCCGCTCTCTCCGCCGACCCGAGTCGGAAATCGAGGGATTTATGGATGAGGACGATGGTCGTAGAACCCACCAGAAAGGCCCGAGGAGCTTCCAGAGCTCCCGAAAAGAAATGGGGACGCACAGCGACGCTCTGTGACCCTCTTCTCGATCCTCCCCTTCCTTCCTTCCGAGCTTTAACCTCTTCGGCCCCGCCCTAATTTGGCTCATTCGGGCCTTCGGCCCTGACGACGGAGGGACCGGGACGGGCACACTCCGTCACGGACCGCGCCAAAGTCCGAGCTTCTGTGCGCTAGGCCACGGTGACATGGACCGCGCCATTGGCCAGCCACGCACGTCTCCACTTGTCGTGTCTCGCTTCGTAACGGATGCCCATTCTTGGCTGACCTGGACTGCGACCTCCGTCGGGTTTCCGTCGGCAACTCTGCCACTGCCGTTATGTCGCTATCGGATGGAAACTCGGCCAATGGAATTTGTGCTTAATGCCACTTGTCGCTTACTTCCGCAACTCGTGCTGACGTTGCTTCTGCTGGTGTGCCTGCCTCTTCATGTTATTAGTCAGAGGGATATTGCGTTAACTGGTCTTCCGGTCGCTGGTCCGAACCATGACCTGACTTATTGCGGCCAATCACGGCCTCATCCCGTTGTTAAGACGCTGACCTTCGAGTGAGTGAAGTTAGAGGATAAAACATATCCTTATCTCCCAATGATCTATTTTACCCTTCAAACTCAGGGGGATTCAATCTTGACCGGGAGACTGATGTGTGGTTTTACTCCACTGAAATGGAGTAAAAAGTTTGAAAAATGCGTGCAAGGAAGATGCGTATGCTAAGGATAACACGTTGTATGACAAAGTGGATTGTAACATGTGCTTAACCTAGCTTGGACGACAAAAATGATTTGATTAATTTTTAATTCAGTAAGATGATTGAGTATTAGATTGATCATTATGGATTTAGTGATATATCACAGGGAGAAGCTTCATTACAATTGGAGAAGTTCATTATTTTTATGAGCTCAAAACCAAATGATTTTTATAGTTCCAATATTTTACTGACAGATGTTTAAATTGGATTAATAGAGCTTCCACGTGATATAATTACAAATTGATTCATTCATTTTTGAAGATTATGATATTTAGATCAAAGATGATAATGATAAAAATTGATTTTGATAGAAAGAATAACTTGTTCATGTATAAATGCTTGAGAAAATAAGTTCAAATAAATTATTTTTATACAAGAAGAGATGCAATTAATTTCTAATCCATAATAAAAATTGAAAGCTAGTGGACTTTACATGAAATCAAATTTTGATTGATATCAAGTATGTTTGCAAGCTGAGATACAATTTAACGGATGATAGAAAATATGATTTTCAGATCTAAGTTGTTTACTAGAAGTTTCACAAAAGAAAACAATGTGATTTACAACAATATTTTGTTCATTTATAGCAATGTATACTATGAATACACTAGTTTGTGCTCTCACAATCATGTATACGATTGTGAGAGCATCACATATTTTTTATAGTCTAGTTTTGGATTGAATTTATGTCATCATAACAATATTCCATGAATCTTTGAAGAGTAAATCTAAATGAAACAATCTGTTGACTTTGTGAAAGAATGTCAATAAATATTTTTTAATATATAATTAATTCATTTTATGAATTGAAGAAATATTATAAGATATAAAATGCAAGATTTGATAAATTTATGAAAGCATAAAGTTTTTCATAAAATGTGTATTTTAAAATATGTATATGAAGCAAATAGATCTAACATTGTAACATGGAAAGTCAAAGAGTATCTATATGGCGTATTTAATAAATTATGACGTCTATAATGGAGTCAAAAGTGTCATTAATAATTATAATTGTTAGACATGAAATTGCATAATTTACTCTCTATATTGAAAATTCAATAAATTTACCGTGAAACATTCATTGATTCAACCCGTATGTAGAGTTTATGACAAAATAGAATGTTCAAAGAATCTTTTGTGAAAAAATGTGATGAAAAAATTTAAAGAGTTCTAATAAGATAAAATTTGAATTTTTATTTGAAAAGATTGAATTAGTATGACATTTATCTTGTAATATAATGAGTAAAACAAAGCATGGAGACATCATTTGTATATGTAAGTACTTAAATGCCATATTAGCTAAAGTGAAGGAGGTAAAAGCGATAGTACAAGAATATACAAAGAATTCAATTCACAAAATTTGCTTAATTGTATCAGTTTTTACAAATCATGTTTTGAACTAAATCTTAATCATTGATAGCATTATTCATTTCACTAGTTTTTTTTATAATATCTTTTTAATTTTGTTCATAAAAAATGTTAATGATTTTAATGAGCTATCATTTCTAAACTAATGGTATATCATAGCATAATCAATAGAATTGTAGAGAATATGATATGTGCATTCACATGAGAGTAGTAACAAAAATGTGTAATTCTTTTCATCTTTGTAAAATTTGCATGATGTAAATCTATTAATGCATCAAAAAAATGTATGCATTTTATACTATGAAAAATGTGCATCTGATAAGTTTATCAAGTTTGAAGAAGCTTTCATAAGTATAGGATTTTTTAATCAAAGTCAAAAATTCTTTAGAGCATATAGTTCATAATAAAATTCATATTCATACAAAATGTGTAAACTTGTTGATTGTTTAGATTGGAAAATAATAATGTGCACATGCTCATTATAAACAATTGGATTTTTGAATAAGATATCACATTTGATCAATTACAACAAATTTGTCTCCTGTAATAACTAAAAAATTTAATCTTAAATTCATTAATCTTTTTGATATTAAAGTATGTTGATGAAATATCATAAAATTTTATGTATATTTATATGTTATGATTATAAAATCATGTATAAAATAATTTATCAATTCATCAATATTAACTTTTTTATCAATCTTTAAGTTGAAAAATATTTTCTCATATAGAATTTAATTTATTTAATAGTATATTTATCATATAATTCAATCTAAAAACCAGATAGAATTCTAGTTAATGCATATTTGATCGTTCAAGATCCTCAAGATCTAAAAAATCATTAGCTAAAACTTAAAATGTAACGTATTTGCAACAATTTTATTGCAAATATGTTCAAAGCCATAAATTTAATTGCAACAAGAATGTTGTGTTTTAAAGATAATAAGATTTGGCAACCATCTTTCATCCGTTAAAACTAGATGTTAAGTATCAGAGTATTAAATTGAAAAATTACTCAACATGAAAATATTTGACTTTTTGTGAATTTTGTACAATTATTATGTCAAAAATCCATGTGCTTGATAGGTAAAGAATAAACACATTGATAATTGGAGACAAATTAGTTGGAATAAAGATAATAAATAGGGATTGAGTGTGTTTCTTGAAAAAAATACGTAATTGAGCCATGTGAATGTTAAATACATTTATTATGTCATCAATTCACTAGAAATGAAAAATATAATGTGGATGAAATTCTCTTTCCTTGAATTAATTAATTGAAGAAGATAATCATTTTCAATATCTCTTATGTTAAGAGTTTGAGTTTCATCGTTGAGTGGGTTTTTGTTAAAACATAGTGATACTAAAGAAAATTTATTGAAAAATCTAAGGAAATTGCATTGAAAATATGTGAAATAAATTGTGAGATGAACTGTAAAGTACCAAGTCTTATGATATTTTATTTGATGATTTAGTAGACAATGCAAAAAATCTTTGTTATGTTAGATATTGTGCATTACAGCATGCGACAAATCAACATATACATAATATGATTAAACACATTGATATATGAAATCACTTTCTCAAAAGATGCAACTTGTAATAAGAATATAAAGCTAATCAAGATTAACTTTAAATTTAATTAAATTTATGCATTTACTATTCTGATAATTTTTTAATAGTATAATTTTGAAGATTTTTATAAGACATTGTGTTATTTTGCAAATGTAGCTCAAGTAGATATAAGTCATATATATATATATATATATATATACACACACATACATACATACATATTCATACACACATACTATCTTGATTTTGAATACAAGTTAGATTTGGTTCACTCTAGTTATAGAGAATCATGTGTTAGAAATCTTTAAAAAGCTTCTTGTGGAGTAACTATGCATGTTATGAAGGTTAATTTTTTTGACACAAGAGTCAAGGTGGAATTGTTAGAATTTAACTCAAGTTTTGGTCGCTAATTAGTTTTATCTTTGCTTCTTAAGCTAGTTGCTCTTCAATTATTAAAATAACAATATCCAAAAATGTATTATGTGTAAAATCTGAAAAATGAATTTTTTGAACCATAATAATTTTGAGAAAAATCGATAGAAAAATTATTTTCAGCCATCATGAAATTAAAGCATATTTCTTCTATTATACCTATCAAAAATTCAGAAAATTTTGAAATGAAAAAAGTTACTTGAAGTACATATTTCAATTTTGCAAAAGTGAAAGAATCAATAAAACTAAAGATAAATATATGACTTCAATATAAAACCTCATTCGAGTGAATAATCAACTCAAGATAATAATAGTTTTTGTAGTTATGGTGAAAACTAGATACACAAACATCAATAGCTTTCTGAACAAGAGTTTAATAAATTGAACTAATTTTAAGTTATTTACAAATTTGAAAAAATTTAATTGAAGAGATGATTTTCAGATTTTTTTCTATTTCCAATTACGATAAAAATTATCTTAATATTAAATGGTTTAATATTTAATTTTTCTACAGAACTTGTGGCAATGACTTTGTATTTGATTAGGAAAAATTAATGACATTTGATGTAATTGTTTTACTGGAAATTTTTTAATATTTGAGGTTCACTATTTCAACTTCGGTACATGTGTGTTAGCTTTACATTTTTTGTTCTCATCTTATTGAAATGTATAAATAAAATTTAAGCTATGATTTAATGTAATGCATGATAGTGAATTTTTCATTCAAAAGTTCATTAAAATTTAACATTTGAGTTTTACATCATGTATATTGTGGTATTATTAAAAATGATGAAGTTGGGTTAATTTAAACTTGTTAAATTATAAACAGCTTTTGTTACATAGAACCAACATATGTATCACTCAAGATGGTCTCTCAAGAGATTTTTCGGAAAGCAT